TTAGCAGCCGAGTAAGACGGAATGAAGCACGTATGTATGGCAGCATGTAGTAATGTATATGTATGTAATGTATGTATGTATGTATGTATATGATGTATGTATGTATATGTATGTAATGTATGTATGTAATTGTATGAATGTATGTATAGTATATGTATAGTGCATGGTAATATCGTATGTAATGTATGTATGTATATATGTAATGATGTATGTAATATGGCTGCGGAAGGAAAATATCCAGCAGGACGGGCTGTTCGCTCACCAACGTAATTGTTAAACAATCGCCCCTGACCAATTTAACTCAGACACCAATCAATGTCACCGAGGGACCGCATAAGTTAGTAAGTAATCATGTGTGTATGTAATATGTATGTATATAATATGTATGTAAATATGTATATCGAGCAAAACACGACTTTCAATATTGATCTCGTATTCATTTAGTTGGTCTAAGTATTATAACAAATAATATATACCAGTTAAGTAAAACATTATTGATGTTTTAAACATTTTATACTGATGCCATAAGTTTTCTATCACTATTTCTTTACTCTATTCACAATATATTCATATCATATCATAATTATATATATATGCATACAAATGAATATTCATATGCATTAGAATGTGCTAATTCAGTGCCTCACTAAAAGCCTTCAGAAGAGAAGCCTGTTTATTCACTGGATGAACGTAAATGCACGTGAATCACACGTGCCAAATGCTGATACCAAAGGCCAATATGTATACAAATGTATACAATGCCCAAATGCCAAGGTGAAGCCCAAATGAATATAACACACAGGGGCGGAACGTGTGCGCTGTTCAGCTGAGCTTGATGATCGTCTGCTGCTGCTGTTCATCTATCGCTCCCGACCTGTACTGCTTTCTCTGCTGCAATGTACACGTGCAACGAGAGACGTCACTGCATACCGTGTACACGCGCAAGAATGATGTCACTGCACCCTATGTACACGCGCAAGGATGAGTCACTGCACCTGTTGTACATGCACGAGGGATGATGTCACTGCATCCTGTGTACATGTGTGTGGATGTGAGTAGTATGATGTCACTCATCCTGTGTACATGTGTGTGGATGTCAGTAGTGTGATGTCACTACATCCTGTGTACAGTGTCGTCATGTCAGTAGTGTGATGTCACAACATCTTGCATATGGTGGTTTGTGTGGTGATGCCACGACAGCGACATTGCGGTGCATGGTGACAAAAAGGCTACTAGAGTCTAAAGAGCCAAATCTACTAGAGTGTGTACTGTTGAGCTAATATAGATTACGTTTAAAGCGCATAAAATGTCAATCATAACCTTGCCAGTTACATATATAAATTATATATAAAAAATTAATATAAAAAATATTAAATATATATTCGATATCGACCAATCAACCACAGCTTCCTTTTATTGCGCATTAGCGCAATGACTCACCATCTCCTGACCTTCATGACACCAGGTTGAGCCACGGATCCTTGCTCAGGATGGTGAACCTGCTGGGTCTGATGCTCAATGATCGTAGCTCTGAAAACACCACGCCACGAGACATAAGACGTACGAAATACATGACATATCACGTACAAAGTGTATCGTTTTACATTACTCGTTTAAGCCGTCGTGCATCGCGGATCAAATATAACTTGGAGACCTTTATATAGGTTGTATTGCATTTGAATTCCAGCACGGATCTGGTTAACCGAGTCGTCAACAGATGCGCTAGATTGTGACTACGTACGAATATCCATGGCAGTATGTACGGAGTCTGTAAAACATCCTGCGTATAAATAAAATTACAATGTGATACACTTGAACACGTACATGCATGCACCTACATGCACACCCAATGTCAAACAAACATTCTTTAGTAGCTTGTTAGATATTTCTGCCATGACCATCATTACTATAGTTACATCCACATAATTACTGCTATCTGAAAACATGTCAAGACAATTACTAAACACCCTTAAAAAGTACCGCATCACCAACACCACCATAAACAAAAGTTAGTACCAAAGAAAACAAAACGAAAACGAAATGAACTGCAGCTAACATGCACGCATGCATGTGCACGTTAGAGCGAAGAACAGAGCATAGCTAAAACAAGTCAGGAGTTGTTAGATTCGGCCACCAGATGGCACCGCCGCTTACTTGTATGGTGAAACGGTGGTCTTCGCAGGAGTGTACTCTCAATCGTCTCCCTCAATACCAAAGTGGTCCTTGGCCTTTTTCTGCACGCGCAGCAAATGGAAGCAAAGAAGAAAACACACAAGATGTCAGAGGCAAGAGCAAGAACAGTAGGCATTGAGAACAGACACGACCGCATATGCAAGCTGCAGTCGCACATGCACGAGCCACGATCCACCATCGCACATCTGAAACCCTAGAAAGGCTGCAAGATGTAGTAAACAAGAGAACAGTCAGCGCAATCAGGAGATCATACGTCTGTCGTCGTAAAGCGCCCTCTAAGAGATGGAAGGAAATGCGTGTCAATGAAATGACTACAACAGTTATAGGAATAGCGAAGAGCGGAAAACCACTCAGCAAGATCAGCGACATGTCTTTTCTGCATAGAGCTGCAAGAAATCCAATTGATAAAAGTAGAACCTATGACTGATAGGTGGAGGTCCGTAAGAGCATAAAAAACATGTGAATAGACGTGCCCGCCCTAGCAGCCGAGTAAGACGGAATGAAGCACGTATGTATGTCTAGCATGTATATGTATGTATGTATGTAATATGTATGTAATGTATGCCCACCCTAGCAGCCGAGTAAGACGGAATGAAGCACGTATGTATGTCTAGCATGTATATGTATGTATGTATGTATGTATGTATGTATGTATGTATATATGTAATATGTATGTAATGTATGTATGTATATATGTAATATGCATGTATATGTATGTAATGTATGTATGTATATATGTAATATGTATGTAATATGGCTGCGGAAGGAAAATATCCAGCAGGACGGGGCTGTTCGCTCACCAACGTAATTGTTAAACAATCGCCCCCTGACCAATTTAACTCAGACACCAATCAATGTCACCGAGGGACCGCATAAGTTAGTAAGTAATGCAATGTGTGTATGTAATATGTATGTATATAATATGTATGTAATATGTATATCGAGCAAAAACACGATTTCAATAATTGATCTCGTATTCATTTAGTTGGTCTAAGTATTATAACAAATAATATATACCAGTTAAGTAAAACATTATTGATGTTTTAAACCTTTATACTGATGCCATAAGTTTTCTATCACTATTTACTTTACTCTATTCACAATATATCATATCATATCATATATATATATATGCATACAAATGAATATTCATATGCATTAGAATGTGCTAATTCAGTGCTCTCACTAAAAGCTTCAGAAGAGAAGCCTGTTTATTCACTGGATGAACGTAAATGCACGTGAATCACACGTGCCAAATGCTGATACCAAAGGCCAATATGTATACAAATGTATACAAATGCCAAATGCCAAGGTGAAGCGCCAAATGAATATACACACCAGGGGCGGAACGTGTGCGCTGTTCAGCTGAGCCTTGATGATCGTCTGCTGCTGCTGTTCATCTATCGCTCCCGACCTGTACTGCTTCTCTTCTGCAATGTACACGTGCAACGATGACGTCACTGCATACCGTGTACACGCGCAAGAATGATGTCACTGCACCCTATGTACACGCGCAAGGATGATGTCACTGCATCCTGTGTACATGCACAGGGATGATGTCACTGCATCCTGTGTACATGTGTGTGGATGTGAGTATAGTATGATGTCACTGCATCCTGTGTACATGTGTGTGGATGTCAGTAGTGTGATGTCACTACATCCTGTGTACAGTGTCGTCATGTCAGTAGTGTGATGTCACAACATCTTGCATATGGTGTTGTGTGGTGATGCCACGACAGCGGACATTGGGTGCATGGTGACAAAGGCTACTCGAGGTCTAAAGAGCCAAATCTACTAGAGGTTGTACTGTTGAGCTAATATAGATTACATTAAAGCAGCATAAAAATGTCAATCATAACCATTGCCAGTTACATATATAAATTATAATATAAAAAATTAATATAAAAAATATGAAATATATATTCGATATCGACCAATCAACCACATGCTTCCTTTTATTGCTGCATTAGCGCAATTGACTCACCATCTCCTGACCTCATGACACCAGGTAGAGCCACGGATCCTTGCTCAGGATGGTGAACCTGCTGGGTCTGATGCTCAATGATCGTAGCTCTGAAAACACCACGCCACGAGACATAAGACGTACAGAAATTACATGACATATCACGTAACAAAGTGTATCGTTTACATTACTCGTTTAAGCCGTCGTGCATCGCGATCAAATATAACTTGGAGACCTTTATATAGGTTGTATTGCATTTGAATTCCAGCACGATCTGGTTAACCGAGTCGTCAACAGATGGCGCTAGATTGTGACTACGTACGAATATCCATGCAGTTATGTACGGAGTCTGTAAAAACATCCTGCGTATAAATAAAATTACAATGTGATACACTTGAACACGTACATGCATGCACCTACCATGCACACCCAATGTCAAACAAACATTCTTTAGTAGCTTGTTAGATATTTCTGCCATGACCCATCATTACTATAGTTACATCCACATAATTACTGCTATCTGAAAACATGTCAAGACCAATTACTAAACACCCTTAAAAAGTACCGCCATCACCAACACCACCATAAACAAAAGTTAGTACAAAAAGAAACAAAACGAAAACGAAATGAACTGCAGCTAACAATGCACGCATGCATGTGCACGTTAGAGCGAGAAACAGAGCATAGCTAAACACAAGTCAGAGAGTTGTTAGATTCGGCCACCAGATGGCACCGCGCTTACTTGTATGGTGAAACGGTGTCTTCGAGGAGTGTACTCTCATCGTCTCCCTCAATACCAAAGTGGTCCTTGGCCTTTTTCTGCACGCGCAGCAAATAGGAAGCAAGAAGAAAACACACAAGATGTCAGAGGCAAGAGCAAGAACAGTAGGCATTGAGAACAGACACGACCGCATATGCAAGCTGCAGTCGCACATGGCACGAGCCACGATCCACACTCGCCACATCTGAAACGCTAGAAAGGCTGCAAGATGTAGTAAACAAGAGAACATTCAGCGCAATCAGGAGATCATACGTCTGTCGTCGTAAAGCGCCCTCTAAGAGATGGAAGGAAATGCGTGTCAATGAATGACTACAACAGTTATAGGAATAGCGATAGAGCGAAAACCACTCAGCAAGATCAGGACATGTCTTTTCTGCATAGAGCTGCAAGAAATCCAATTGATAAAAGTAGACCCTATGACTGATAGGTGGAGGTCCCGTAAGAGCATAAAACAATGTGAATAGTATGAGACAATAGAAATGAGGAACAAGAAGAAAGAGAAACGGGAGAAAAAAAGACAAGGAAAGGAAAAAGAGACAAGAGAATAGACAGCATATAACGAGTGTTTCACAACCATTCCTTACTCAAATGTCTAATAACAAGACAGAAAGAGAAAGTTGCCAAAGTGAATATAATGGCAAGCTGGTGATCAGAGTTTTGAACAGTGTGTTGCAGAAGGTACAAAAGTTACGGACAGAGTAGAGAAGGTATAAAAGAAGCAAAGAATAGAAGTGGTACACTAAAGAGGATGTACAAATTAGAGGCGGTATACCACATAGAGGAGGTGTAACACACAGAGGAGCCATAAAAAATAAGAGGTCTTTTGCATAAAGGAGGAACAGAATAGAAGAGATATACTGCATAAAGAAAGAACAGAATAGAAGAGCATATACTGCATAAAGGGCGAACAATAGAAAGAGAATTACTGATAAAGGAGGAACAGAATAGAAGAGATATACTGCAATAAAGGAGGAACAGATTAGAAGAGATATACGTGCATAAACGGAGAACAGAATAGAAAGAGATCAGACTGCATAAAGGAGGAAAACAGAATAGAAAGATAACGCCCATAAAGGGAGGAACAGTAATAGAAGAATTGATATGCATAAAAGAGGAACAGAATAGAAGAGATATACTGGCATAAGGTGGGAACAGAATAGAAGAGATATACTGCATAAAGAAAGAACAGAATAGAAGAGATATACTGCATAAAGGAGGAACAGAATAGAAGAGATATACTGCATAAAGGTGGAACAGAATAGAAGAGATATACTGCATAAAGAAAGAACAGAATAGAAGAGATATACTGCATAAAGAAAGAACAGAATAGAAAAATTATGCTGCATAAAGGAGATATACGACACAGAGGCACTCAACAGAGGTGTACCACACTAAGCAAGTAGATGTAAGAGGCGTTGTAGAGAGGAGGCAAGATCGATGGAGGAGGGTACCTTCCTGCCTCCGACACATCTTCCAGCATAGTCTCCCCTTCATCCCCGTCCGAACCATACCTTTCCCGGTCCGCTTTCTGTTTACGAAATACACATGAGGCATGATGACAGACCGCCATCTATCCCTCGCACTACATAACAAGTGAACAGCCCTCTAACCACGCTCAGTGAGTGAACGAACTCAACCAGAGGATAAATCCTGGGATAAATGACAGGATAGCACTGAACATTATGTCCCTTTTAGCACGGGACATAGTGGCCAGTGCTATGCACAACTAGAACGCCTCATACAATGCCCTCTGCTACACATAATAGGATGAAGTTCATAATAAATAACAGGATTAAACGCTGCAACGGATAACGAAACCATAAATATCTGGAAAAAAAGAAGATTAATAGCCCTCGGATAAACCGATACCGATATCAACTATCCGGACGAGCTAAGTCGTGAAGGGAACTCCTCAGGCGATCCCCGTTCCCCAACTGCCTACCTTCTTCAGGATGATGTCGATGTAACCGGCAATCAGCTGGGAGATGGGTTCTCCATCGGGCGTCTGCACAGAGTAGTAGGCGTCGGAGTAGTCTCCGAAATCCAGCGTGAAACTGTTGGGCGACGCGGCCCAGCGACGCACGTGGGTGAGGGGCCACTCCTTGATGATCTGTGGGGAAAGAGGACAACAGTAAAAATATCCGTGGTGGGGAACGCAATGGTTTACAATTTTGCTTCGAGTAATTGTATGGCTCATAATTGTTATTATGATTAATTTATGTGTATAAATATAAAATATAACATGTACTATCATTTCCCAACGCTAATACTATTTCTTAAATACACTATAGAAATATTATATGTATAAATATTAATGTTGCAACGCTACATATGAGTGTCTAAGTGTGCGAGCGTGTCTTAGTGTGTCTTCGTCAAAGATAGATGAAGACAAGTGAGGGTGTTCCAAATTACCACAGAATAGTATTATTCATAACACATCCAAGATAGATGAAGACACATGAGGTGTTCCCCAATTATCACTGAACAGTAGTATTCATAACACATCCAGGATAGATGAAGACACATGAGGTGTTCCCCAATTACCGCTGAACAGTATTATTCATAACACATCCAGGATAGATGAAGACACATGAGGTGTTCCCCAATTATCACTGAACAGTAGTATTCATAACACATCCAGGATAGATGAAGACACATGAGGTGTTCCCCAATTA